ATACAATATACATTATTATTGACTGAGGGTCAATTACAACATTATCATGATTTTGTTTAAATGTAGTCTTGTAAAATGTAATTTAATATAGAGGTTTTCACAGCGATGTATAATACTTATAGAGGGGATTATGTTGGTGTTTAACTACCTAACATAAAAAAACCGCTATAAAAATCCCATGTATTATTATTATTATTATTATTATTATTATTATTATTATTATTATTATTATTATTATTATTATTATTAAAGATACAAATGTGTTGGAGTACTAGCCAATAGAAGCGCAAGTGTTGCATAGTGATGTCATTATGTAACAGAAGTTAACAAAGGAGTCCAATGGAGTTTCAGGCAGGGGGGGGAGTGTGTGGGAGAGAAACTCCCTCTGGAGGGAACTTTGGTATTTTAGCCTTTGCAGACCCTTTACATGCACACAAACCTATATAACACTCTACAGGAAAGGGAAAATGCCAAAGAGAATAATATTGCCTCTTTAAATAGCAAATAGTGGCTGTGTATTTAGCTAGCTAACTGGCGAGTAGCAAATCCTTACAGACTGCTTAATTAACCAAATACAATGAACGTTGACTTATTTTCTACAGTATAGTTGTACATTTAGCAAATACTGAAGAAAAAACCGTAATACATCTTTTTTATAGCGTTGTTATATTTATTAGTAGTTGCTGTTAATCACAGCCCCCACAATTGTGTTACGTAGCCAAAATAGTGGTCCATAAGTGCAAAAAGTGTCCGTTATGAGTGCTCCATCTGTACTAATAGTGCATTTTGCAATACTTCTCATCGCACTCAAAAGAAGAAAAAGGAATTCCAGAAGTATGCACATTGAGTCACAACACTACACTGACGTTAACAAACGGACTGTTAATTAAGGGGTGATTTCAGAGGAACATAGAAAGGGGGGTTTATCAATTTAACATGGAAAATATAGATTAATATCTGCCACAAAGACAAGTCATGTCTGCCTTTTGGTGGTTTTCCACCAGCTGTGGTCTTTCTATTATTGATGAGTGTACAGTCACTGCATTCAAATCAGGCTGACAGACAGGACTGGACTAGCAGACCTTCAGGCACACACACCATGCTCTCCATCACATAACATTTATTTTTTCTCAGACCCATTCTAACAGAGTGTATTTTAAGCAGGTAAACCTACCAAGGTTAAAGCAGTGTTTTCTAGTTATTGCTTGTTTTCAGCACATTTATTACAAATGACATATTTAACATCACTGCCAAATATCAATGTGTTTTTGTTCCAACTGAGCTGTGACTGTGGAGTATTAGTTTTTCTAATTTACTCTAGCATAACTCATGAATTAATTTTTCAAAACATTAAGCTCTAAGCTCTGAACAATTATGGCGCATTTCCACTACACGGTCGGCCTCGGCCACACTCGGTACGGCTCGGTACGGCTTGGCCGCGTTGGGCCTTAACAGGGCCGACTCACTTCATGCTGCGCTTCCATTACAGTTTAGGAACTGGGGTAGTTACTATAGTAACGCAGTGTAGGCGGAGCCGTGACGTCATCTTCAATGAGAAATCCAGAAACACAACACAGCCGTTAGCTGTGAGCACTCAGAGCTCACAGCTCCTTATATATGTTCAGAAACTCGACAAAAGTTAAACAAGTACACACCACAGACTGCCTGTGTCATGGTGAATACAGTCGCTGCTGTATTTATGTCTGTATAGGCCGTTGTTGTGAGTGTGGACGGTCGGGGCATATACTGCGTTAGCTTAGCCAATCTCCATCTAGAAAAACACGAATTTTAAAAGGTTTTTCGCCTGCCGTCTGTCTGCAGACTTGACAAAGCATTAATTCATGGTTTTTACTAACCGGTATCAGTATGTTGTTACTTCGGCATCATTTTGAAACGTGTATTACAATTAAATCACGGTCAAATATGTCCATCTTGTTGTAGTTCTAGCCCTCTTGCCAGCGCTCCTCTCTCTAGTTTAGCATACTCAGCCCGACTCAGCCCTGTTTGTTGGCCCCGATAGAACCACAATTTTCTAGGGCCAGAAAAGAGGGGAAAAAGTGGCCCCGCGCCGTGCCGCGCCGGAACGAGGCCTAGTGGAAGCACAACCAAAAAAGGGGACGGCACGACACGGCACGCTTAAAGCGAGCTACGCGCTGCAATGGAAATGCGCCATTAGTGTGTTGTTCAGAGCAGATTTGCATCTCTCATTCATTCAAGCAAATAGCACGTTTTGGCACATGTGTAAAAAGTTTGAAAATGGCAACATTAACCACCAACCATAGCTTGCTGATCAAATTGTCATTTACTATTAAGGAATATTTAATCGTTTGAGCAATGACATGCGAAATTATCCATTCAGGTGTAAAAATCTCTCACACATGCATGTGCTTTTCATGAATGTCATTTTGTGGCACACATTTTGTCTTTTATATAGTGCAACATGCAACACATTGCTACACAAGTAAATGTACTCTATTTCTGGAAATGTGTATAATCTTATGTAATGTATGTCAACTTTGACCTACTGTTTTAAATGGGAATGTAAAAGCAATAGCATTCATTGAGACAACATTTGCTTTTTACAGTAAGCAGTCAGTGTAGAGTAAAAGGGAACAAACTGATTTTTTTTTCAGAACAACTGGCAGCTCAATTTCCAGTTCAGTTTGGGTCGATGAGAGGGTCAGTGTATGTTTTGGTCATTGGATTTTCTTTTCTCAAAATGATATTCAAAAAACGACTGGATATTTAATATTCGTTTTAAAATTGAAAAAATTAAATTGAAATATATATATACAAGGCGTTTTTCTTTATCATAGTCAAGAAGGGATTAACACAACCAAAGTTATTTTTCTAATGGGTCTATTCACTGTGTACAACATTGACTGCCCTAATTGACCATTCGGGACAAAACATTTTGATAAAAACATTATATTAAAATATTTTTTCACTACTTTTTTGAGATCAATTTTTAAAGCAACTTCAGCCCTAATCAAAAATACCAAATATTGTATAATTTTCAGGACTCAACCCTTTAAATGCCATTTTGAATACATGAAATCACTGTTGTTTTTCATGAGAAAAACACAGAAAATGAGTTATCTTCCGTATAATACATATCTGGAGACTGGCTTTTTTTTTAATGACAGTCTTGGAGGAGATTTGTCACATTTGTCATGGGCGCACCCCACATACTCAGCTCTGCTGCTCATCCCACAAATGCATGTTCCTCACAAATGTGGCACCATTTGAAAGGTAAATAAACAGGCTTTCCAACTAGAAGCATTGTTACAACAAAGAAATAATCTACCAAACACAAATTTCACTTACTTTTTGTGTTAAATTTATATCTATAGATATACAGTATATTATTGATGTAGTCTTTAGCAACACTTTTAAAATATAACGAATAATTGTTTTATAATATTCTGTACAGAAAGTTGTGTGAAAATACGTGGAAACTTTATTAATATAGCAGATGAAAAGATTTGCATTCTTGGGTTTCAATGGCTCTCTAGATAAAGAACGTTTTATGTTTGCTTGTATTATCCTCAGATAGTGATTTATTAGGATAACTAGTGATATTTTAATAAATATTGCACAAAAAAAGCCTATATCACCTTTGGCTTAGCCAGTGTGTATTTGTTCAAGCACCACAAGATTCACAGTTTATAAAGTACAATTCTGGGCCATTTATTGTGTAATTTATCCAAAAACATACAGTAACAATGCCTGTTTTGCAGCCTTAAAAGGGTGCTCATCAAAAATAGCAGGAACAAATGCATTCTTGTACTCAGGAGGGTGAGGAGTATTACTGAAAAAATACATAGTAAAAGTACTTCATAGTAGTTGTGGTTGTAGTTTAATTAGTACTGAGTCAAACAATATCAATATCAAGAGCTTATGGCAAAATATATTTGTATCGCTCATCAAACTTAGCAGAAGTGGCTTGATTTTGTTCTCAGTAGGGGACTTTGACAGAGTATTACTAAAAGATTAAACAGTAAAAGTACTTCATTGTATTGCTAGTAGGCGTACTACTACTGAGTCCAACAATATCGATTTCCTTAAAAAAAACTAATGGTCAAAAAAAATGTTTACCACTCATCAAAGCGTCAGTGTCGCTTCACAGCGATTACCGTAAATTAAGAGCTGCTGATTTGAACAAGCAAACGCGAGAGACGGCTGAGTTGACCGCAGTGTTTCACGGCCGACACAGGACCGTACTGATCTGCGCTCTTATTTTGTAAACAGCAACTTCCGGTAGCAGAATATGAAACAACGGGCGTTTTTTCGTTTCTGTTTTCTAGTGATTTTATATTTTGTTTTGAGAGGGAGAACATGAAAATCATCCCGTTTTTTAAGTTTAGTTAATACATTTTTGACCATGATAAAGAACAAAGCCTTGTATTTCAAGTTTATTTCTTCAATTTTAAAACGAAAATCAAATATCGTTTTTTAATATCATTTTGTGAAAAGAAAATCCAATCACCAACACATACACTGACCCGAGAGGCTAAGCTTGGCTATAAGCTGCGACGCGTTTTCAATGATTTGCTCCATACTGAAGTAAGATAGATTGACGATATTTATTATACAAAATAAAAACACAATAACTACAGGGACAAAAACGATCAACAGAAAAAATGACGGCACAAGCTCACCCTCTGTCATCCGCACTCGACATGAAACAGGTGACCTATATACAAAAACCACACCCATGTGACAATTCCCGGAAGTGCTCAACAAACAAATAAAAGTGACGTAAACAAATAATAATAATACAAATAATGAACTCAGGCTAAGTAGCATTTGGCACCTACAACAACTAGGGGGCCTAGGTATAAAAGTCACGGCTCGCCACTGGCTTTTGCAGACATGCAATACAGTGTTGATGTCCCAAAGACTGCAGAAAAGGTATCCACTGTGAGGGAGGCAGGATAACTTTTAAAAGCGGTTACTTTATCGTTTCCCTCCCCTTCCTCTCTGCCTCCCATGTGCAGGCGTACTGTTGAGGCTGGCCAGACCAGGAGGAGCAGGAAGGAGCTGCTTTTTCCGAGAGAGGATCAAAGGCCGGGAGAGAGAGCGATAGTGTGGCTGAACATCCCTCGGCATGAAGAAAAGCAGGAGTGCACAGGGGGTTACACCAGGCGATGTGAGTATTGATTCCCCCAACCGTCCATCTGAGCGAACATTAATCCATCTATTCATTCGTTACACAGCTACTCCCAATTTGTTTCTATCTGAAACTCACCTCTAAAGTTTACAGCCTAATCCTGCAGTTTGCACAGTTGTAAATTGTGTAGCCTCAAGATTTCCTGCCGAACTAGGACACAGTGAGCAAGGATTTTGTAATATTGCAGAAAATAAAATCTGTGGCAAACACATGTTAATCATACTTGCATGTTTTATTCAGCTGGATAGTCTCCCCAAAATAGCACCACTTTTATGATTTCTGAAGCGAAAATGCAATAGTATCAATTATAAAGCTAACGTAATGCTATAAACCAGGGGTGGGGAACCTTTTTCCTCTCAAGGGCCATTTCAATTTTCACAACATCCTCCGAGGGCCGTACAAATTATTGAACTCAACCTCTGCTAAAAATAAATAAAATCACAGCCCATTCATTTCGCCTTTCTTTCATGCTGTGCAAAGAAAAAGCAACCTCTTAATCCAGAGATCTTACCATGACTCACGCATAGACACACAAGATGTGTGCAAATGTATTTAGTTTCCTATCCATGTGAACATGATTTAAGTGGGGGGGGACCTAACCTCCTCTAGGGGGGTCCGGGGCATGCTCCCCCGGGAAGATTGTTTTTTAAATGTTGAAGTTAAAAGCATCAATCTGGTGCACTTTGAGCACAAAATGAAGAGCTCTATGGATACATCTCTCAACACCCATATGAAACAGAACTGTAAACAGATTTTCTTTTTCTTCATGGATATTTTACAAATCACTCTCCTTTCAAACTGTATTCTTGTTTATTAATAACTACTCTTTTTTTTACTGTCATATAGTATTTTATACCTGTTTTTCATTTATTCTCTTATTTTTTTATAACTATAATGATCATATCAAGGTGTGCCTTAACCTCACTGAGCTGAGATTATCAGCCTCTCAGTCTGTCAGGAGAGAGCTTTCTTCCACCTGGTTGTAGAAACAGCTCCTTATATTTGTTAGCTCGCTAACCAGATGCTAATAACAACATTCCCCGGTACCGCTCTCTCTCTCTCGCTCGCTCCAACAAAATGCGCTCGTGCCACACACACACACACAGAGCCGAGCTTGAGTGACACACAAAGACCCAGAAGTAGTTGTACTGTAATGTAGCATATTATTTTCGATGGCGTTACTGTATGATCAGTATGACAGATGAGCAAATCGCCACTGGGCTGACAACTAAAGACACAGCCACGCAAAAACTGCGGCATGTGTACGGCTCCTTATGTGTAGTGCAATTGTTGAAGTGCTGGAGCAGCGTTCCGGTGCTCTCCGTCAGCACTACACCACGTGATGACACGTTACGCTCGTGTTGTGTTCAAGGAACCTGTCCTTAGCCAGGAAAAACAGGCACTCGCTTGTTTAATTATTTTGCGGTCTAGATTTCTTTAATTTCTTTTTTTCTTCGTGTGTTTATAAATGACCTTGAGGGCCGTATCAAATGGTCTCACGGTCCGTATACGGCCCGGAAGCCGGAGGTTCCCCACCCCTGCTATAAACAAACTGTGCCTGCCAAACACCACCGCTAAGCTAACGGCGGCTAATGTTTGGCGTGAGGACGTTAAGTAGTCTCATTAAGCCCCTTGTTAGCAGCTGCGTTTTAATTTTTTTTTTCTCTGAGAAGTTTTATGTCGCAGTACAACAGGCTAAGATCTCTTCAGCTTGTTTTAACCACAGACCTTATTTCAGGCATCTAACCAAAAAACACGTTTACAAAAATCATTGACTTTTAGACAAGGGAACCTAAATTGCTAACCCATTTTCTGGTTTGAGGACTCATTCCTGCTCTACTCTGTTGGGAATACACTAAGGTAGAAAGCTGCAGGATGTCTACTTGGTGGTGACTCAGAAACAGATGACTGTACTGTACACAACAGACCTCTTTACAGCAGGACACGACGCAGAGAGCGAGAGTGGTGTCTGTTGGGACAGGGACAGGGAGGTGAAGGACAGTGCACGTGTGTGTGCGCCAAAGAGAGAGTTAGGGAGATGTCGGAGAGGCAGAGTTGAGGAGGGATGAAGAGTTTAGACGGAGGCAGAGGAGGGAGAGGAGAGGAGGAAAGGTGTTAAAGGATGGTTCACACCAGGACACACTGAGTAGAAATTTGGAAAAGCGGGGGGAAGAACAGAGATCTGACAGTGAGGCCCATCTGTTTAGCCTCCACGTCACCGGTGTTTATGACTAGGCAGACAGGCCACATCACTTACAGTGTCCAACAGGACCTTTAGAGGCTTTAGAGGCTTCATCCTGGACGAAGAAAGTGTTCCTGCTGTGACTGGCCTCCATCACCCCCCAAAACCCCTTCTACAGTTTAAATGGGCACTATTATTATTATTATTATTATTAAATGTATGTGCATGTTAATGGTCATGCAAATAAACGGTATAATGGCTATTTACGTCAGGATTATGTTAATGTTCATACCAGCAATGATCCAGCTAATGGCAGACACATTTTCAAGCAGGACAGATTCTCACTTTGGAATGAAAACTTGAATTAAAGGTGAAGTCCGCCATAATAGGGGAAGATTGCTGATATCTGAACACGACACCCATTCAAATGGCCCTTCTCTCCATTTGTGCTCCTTCAGATTTTGCAAGTTTTATCGTCGCTCTCAGGCTTCCACTGCCTTTCTCTTTATTTGTCCATAGCGTTTCCTTTGCTTGAATAGTGTGGTGTGGCGGATAGGGCTGTATCGAATAGTATAACCCTAATAACAATATTAATTATTAATAATAATTTACAAACACAGGACCTGCAGTAGTCCACCTTACCTTCACCTCTCCATCACACACTCTATCACTTAAACACATACATAAATGTCTCTGAAATGGTCACAGTCATTAATAAAGTTATATTGAAATAAGACCAGAATCAATTTTTTCATCTTGTGTAATATTCTACTTCGATCCATATTTGTAACTAAATACACACCTTTTATTAACTGACATTCAAAGATTCATACAATTTTTGAAAATTAACTCTTCTCTCAAATACGGTTTGCAGTTTAAAAAAACATCAACATGTAATTCATTTATTTTATTTATTTATTAGGTTTTTCTGTTAAATAATTGCTGTGTCCACGTCCACCAGAAGGTAATACCCGAGTACAAAATATACACAGCGTAGGTGCTGGTTTGACCATATTTTCAGAAGTGTGAAAAGGCACATGTTCTGCCCTCACTGTTGTTATGAGTACAGTTATGCAGACAGATAACTCCTCGACAAGTGGCAAGCGTTAATCTTCTTTAATAAGATGTTTACATCCACAAGTCAACAGAGTAAAACTGAAAGAAACACAGGCACTTAGCTGTGATGCTGAAATATATATACAACGGTTAATTACATCACAAACATCACAACATATGCATATGAAAATGTTTACATGCAAAAGTGCTGTGTAATACACACTACAAAACATGTGCTAACCATACATCAAACATCAATAAATAGCAATCTACTTAAACATTGAAACATCAAAATAATCATTGATAATTAAGAATATGTACAAAGGCCAAAAATACTTACAGGCAATGCTTTCAACAAGATAGCAAAGAAGGATGGATGCAGATTCAAACATTAATATTCTCCTCTCTGTCCCTTTCAACCACTACTTCAGGGTTTCCCACACATAGACTTTACTTGGGCGGGCCGCCCAGGTATATTAACGTCCGCCAAAGTATATAGCGCGACCCATTTAGGTTTAATCTTTTTTTATCCGTCCGAGAGCACGACGCCATCTGCGATCGATTAACTACCCCTCGTGTACCTGTTCTCTCTGCTATCGCGTGAAGGGTCTGCTTTATACGCTCCGCAGTAACTCCACAGCAAGGTTTTTCAATGTAAGTCTTTCCAATTGGCTGCTACTAACAAAAGAAGAAGTAAAACAAAAAGCAACAGCACCACGTGCTGGCTGGAGTAAGACAGCGTCTTAGACAGCACAGCACATCTCAATTAATTGACGGGACAAATTGTCCACGATGTTAGTGATAACTCAATACATCCCTGAAATACATTGAATATATTCAATATATCGGCCATTTCAAGCAACATTTACTTTTGTCTTTATTTAGCAGAAAAGTCATGTGTGATTCTTTAAAGACGTCTCCGCAACACTCCGATTTTATACAACCAGAAGAATTAAAGTGGTCTATTCCTTTCGTTTCTTTTACTCTTATTAGATTCTGTTTTCGCGTCCACTAGAAGGACAGTTTTTGTATAGACACTCTCTTACCATTATAGTATACAAAAGGTACCTAGCATACATGTAGGTGCTACAGTATGAATTGACCATATATTTGTATGTGCGGGCTAGCCTCTTCCATTACCGTTTACAACCTCTCTTTGATGCTTCATCGGGCTCTCTTCAGCCCCTTTTCCTTTGCTGCTTTCCTCCAAGTGTGATAACAAACATCTGGCGGCTTTAAAAGGGGACGGGACAAATTGTCCAAAATGTTAGCAACAACACAATACGTTGTGATGTGATTCTCTAAAGATTGCCTTTCTACACCTCGACACTCCGATACAGCTTCAATAATTAAAGTGGTCTCCTTTTTGTTTCTTTTACTCCTCTCAGATTCAATTATACAGACACCACATCAATCCATGCTGTTAGAGCTCCCCTCCTAAAGCTGTCTCACTTATAGCACCTTCTTCAAAAAGGCTTTTTGGAAGCCTCCCAGAGAACACTGGAGTTGTTTGGACTCAGCGGCCAACAAAGGCCTTTCATCTTCATCGTGAAAACACCCACTCCACCTCTGTTCGACACTAACTCCATCTCAGGCTTTTTACCTTTCATCTCTTCCCGTCCCTTTATGACCATGTTGCGGCGAATAGGTTTCTAAATGTCCAGTTGTTTTGACTTCTAAAATTATCCTTATCCTGGCTTACACACAGGCTTTCACTCAAAGTGAATCAGCAGTATTTCCTCTCCCGCTGCCATTTCGATCACTGACATGGGATCAATGAAATCTGGAATTACATGTCCAGATGTCAGAGGTGCAATCGATATACAATTGATAACTAATTTGGCAGCGCGGGCACCGTGACGCATCAACAAGAGACTATTTAGTTCTCTGCTTTGTTTGACAAGAGTGATTGTGTAAGCGGATCAGGCGTCGGAACAGAGACACGTTTTGCCACATCTAATTTTCACCCTTTTTCCCTGGGAGAGGACGAATCTGTCTTTATAAAGAGAGGCACAATAAATCAGACAAATTGCATTTCCTAGAAGGAGCAGGCGACTCAGCAGAGCTGTGTTTACAGGCAATCTGGAAAGGAAGACAGACACACGCCTCTTTCTGATTCTGACTGTCACTACTGTTCACTCTGTCACTCAGAAACTCTCCATCTCTGCTCCCCATTTAGAAGTTCACTCTCTATTCATGCTTCTTCTTTGCTCCACTGTTGATGAGTCCCTGCGATTACTGTTGGTTACCACTTTCTGTCTGTCTTGATTTATTAGATCAGTGTTGGCTTTCATCATGTGAGGCCACTCTGTCTTACCTCACCCACTCATTAATTAGAATTTCCGCAGTTCTCCTTTTTGACCTTCATCTCTCAGAGGACTGGCAACACACTGTCATTTTCAAAGAGGATCTATCTGTCCTCTCTGAAGAGACATTTTGATTTTTTGATGCAATAAAAAGGACGTTTTATTGGTCAGAGGACAGCTGGCTTGGACATATACCTGAGTAACAGTTTCACATACTCATCACCTCAACAAGACTGATGTTTTCAAAGTGACTGTTTACCACGCTTAGGTTAATGCCTTTTTACTTATCCCTCTTTTTGTTTTCACCCCCCCCCCAATCGGAATTATGTTTTTGGGTGGTTTGGCTCTTCGACCAATTCTTGTGAACGCGAGTTCTCAGGAACACATAAATCAAATTTCTTCAGATTAGGCAGAAACACCCACTTGGACTCGAGGATTATCTTGTTAGATTTTGGCGAGCAAGGCCACTGTGACCTCACGTCCAGCACATTCTAGTGAATATGGTATTTTTAGGAATGTCTGGAGGAGATTTGGCACAATAAGGAATGTTATGTGAATAATGATTCTAACAACATTCCACTTAGCTTTTGGCAGAGTGCCATGGACCCGACTTTGAAAATCATCACACAATAGATTACAGATCAGTTGATTTTTGTGTAAAATGTAATTCTAGTAGGATACTCTTAGAACACTGCCATGTTGTGCACTGTGAAGGTGAACACTTGTGCAGTGTGTCTATTTTGAGCCTAGAGTCTTATATCGCTCACTGCTTCTATGCTCTTACCGGAACTAGCTAGCCATGTCATTGTTTACAGTAGCAAATGTTGTAGCAAATCATTTCAGACTACTCAATCAGACCAATACAATGAATGGAAGCTGATTTTTAACACTAGTATAGTGGTACGTGTATCGAATATAGGAAAATATCCCCATGTACAACTTATATTTGTATAGTGCTGTGTTGACTGGAGCAATCGCAGCTCTATGCACCACCCCTGTAACGTAGCCAAGATGGCAACTGTTGATTGTTAGAAGTGTCCATCGTTCCATACTCAACTTTTAACCATTATGATTGCATCATCTGGGTACTGGATCGTAGAACAAAACATGAAAATCTCTTCAGCCACAAATTGTATTTCAGGCTTCAAAACACAAACGTGTTAAAAAAAAACGTTAACTTCGAGAACAGGGAACCAGAAGTGATAAAATGCGAACAAATGTCTGCATTTTAGGACTCATTCATGGACCACTATATAGGCCTCAAAACTCCAGTAATGGTCAGGCTACACTCTCTACTGGCAACATTTTAACAGATTTGAGGTAAATACTGACAATCAAGTGAATTAGTTTGATTGTGTCCTGGCTCATTCTTGTCTAATCATGATGAGCTGTCAGCCCTGATGACAATGAAGTCTGACTGGCTTTCACCTCACACACTCACTCAGTCGCTCTCAACCTTCTTTCTTACCCACTCTTTCCCTTTTCTCGTCTCTTGCACCACATTAATAAACAAACGTTTTCTCATTAATAGAGCATGGTTCTAGGAATTCCTCAAACGTCCATTTCCCCCTGGGCCACATCGTGCCTCCACATCTCGGTTTTCATTTGAAAACTGTCGGCAGGATTCATTTAGACTTGTGCACGATGCACATAAAGTGGAGTGTGATGAATGCAGAATGAGCTCTGGCAGCCCGCCTCTGTTTCCTGAGTCAACTGGCTTGTTTACAACCCATCGTTACAGTGAAGCATCTACAGTTCCTTACTGGAACCTTCACACTCCAGCAGACACATTAAACACACAATTTATAACTATAAAGTGTCACTCTGTAGCTCAGGTGTCATGGGCATGCTCTGAAATAGGCTTTGATCAAACGGTTCATTTGTAGATAGTGAAGAGCATCGAAACCTTAATGTAGACCATACAGTATACAGTATGGCACTATACTAAATCTTGAATATGTGCAGGACAGGCAGATTGTTTAGTTTGTAAACCCTTGAGTCGCTGTAGTACAATCATGTTTTTGTGCTAAATAGTCTGGTAAATCTCTCTTTTTGAAGATGACATATTAAGTTCATTTTTAGGTTTATATTTTTATTTAGTGCCTCTACTATGACATGTTTCCATGCTTTAATGTTCAAAAAGATTTCTGTGCTGCAGCACCTCTTTTCACCCTCTGTCTGAAACCAGCAGTCTGCTCTGGTTAGCTGGCCAGCTCTGTTTTGATAGAGTGATAGCGTGTTGTGTCAGAGCACTAGCCAATAGAAGCGCAAGTGTTTCATAGTGATGTCACTATATCACAGAAGAAAACAAAGGAGTTCATTGAAGGAGTTTCAGGCAGTTTCTCAGGCTTTTACCCTTGATTCCTATTTTTTTTTTAAGACAGTGATTTCCTGTTTCTTCGAATCCTTGTTTCTGTTTTTAATCCTGTTTTGCTATAGCCATTAGCACAACAACATTTCACCCATATTTTCTTCATGTTTACTCACCACATAGCCTGTATCCAGACTTCCAGAGGGAATGATATGAGCTCATTTCATGGAGATCTAACCCGTGAAATTGTCATTATGTCTTTGCTCAGGAGAATAAGGAGCCCCCTGTGGTACAAATCTCTGCGGGCAGCACACTCGGGGTGGATGTGTACAAAGTCCAGAGGCGCTTTTCTGGCAATCTGCAGCTGCCACCGTTGTCATGGCGACAGGCAGAAATGGAGCGGGACAGGGGGAGGTCGCCGACACCTGAAGATGATCCAGTGACCTGCAGCAGACCTACAAGCCTGCCCATCTACTCACTGCCCCGCATCGACATCACAAAGGCCGACCCCGACAGGTGAGGCTCCCAAAACCAAAGAGCAGTCATCATGCAATGTATATCATGGATTTCATATTCATGTAATGTCATCCTAGATAGTAATTATATCATTCATTTGTTGTCTAAGAAGGATTACAATCAATATGGCCTATCATTATATCTAAATACTTTTAGGATATTGCTCTATATCAGGGGTCTCCAACCTTTCTTCATCTGAGAGCTACTTTGAAAAAATGAAAGTGGCCAAGAGCTACTTGCATCACATCGCTTACATTTATTCACATAGCCCTCATCAGTTGAACTAAGCTACTTTTGTACACGTGTGAAATTGCAATACCCAAAGCTTATCAAAAATCTTTACTTCACATCAAGGTCCAAGAAAATGACAATGTCTCACATATTATTATGGGCCACATAGTACGTACATCATCTTAATCACCACCTTACAAGCATCTTATGGCACATGTGTAAAATAAGTGCATTCACTCTTTTTCACAGTTAGTGAGAGGACTGGCACTGCATGGAGTCCACCATAGAGGTGAATGCTGGAGTGTACCCACTTAGGTTCATTCTAATAGAGTCATTTAAATGTTCATCAGTCAGTCTTGTTCTGTATTTAGATGTCATTCATGTCAGAAAAAGCTGCTTCACAAAGGTATGTAAAGCCAAATAAAGCAGACATGTTCAGTGCTGCTTGGTGATGTTCTAATAGTTTTCTGGGTCTACAAGGCTCCAGAAATGTTGTGAGTTTTGCTGAGACTTAAGCTGAACATGATTTTGGAGATTTATAACCTCCATCTCCATCTCCACAAGATTGACACTGAACAGTTCAGCCATCTTCTTCTTTTTCTTGACATGAAATTATAAACCATAATAAATCAATTGTATAGGTCTAGCCTCCCTATATCTGTGTGTGAAATTGTTCCATCCTCAAAAACAGTCTAGCTGCAGCTTCTAGCAATGGTCTTCTGTTAAAAAAAGGACACTGAATGTCCTGAATGTGGCATCACTAACATGACTTGAGTCTGAACACAGCAGACAACAGGAGTATTTAAAACAGCATATATAAAAAAAAATGACTGCATGTGGGTGCACACTTACATTCTCTGTCTTACTGTTACATAAATCCCATGAATGTAGGAGATTAAGTTAGCTTCATCATATCTCAATCGGTGATTAAGTGAATAATAAAGTTTCTATCAGGTTACCATCAGCCTGTCACTCATTATTTTTAGGGAGGGGGTGGGGTTTGGAGGAACAGAGGAGACGGTGATCGCGGAAGCTTTCCTCCTGCCTTCACAAACTTTACACAAGTATTTATTGTCTGAAAATAGCAAGAGGACATTCATACTCTGCAATCCAAGACTTGATTAAATCCACCAAAAACCTGACATGGTGCTAACGCAAGTATTTTTAAAACATAAATCCATGTGTGTCTGAGCCGCAGCGACACAGACTGATTCAGGTGTATTTATTGTCGTCGGATTTTTTCTACAGTCAGTGAACCCGCGAGCGGCGAGCTACTGAAAAGCTGCCCGATCGACGTGTTGGAGACCCCTGCTCTATATGGATTATTTCAATATTTTTTCAATATATTTTTTATAAAATTATTTACAAACTATTTGTTTTAACTGTTTAATTTCCTGAGAAACCCTATAAAAAAATTAATAAAATGTCACCTCTGAAATTCAGTTGCAAGCTATAGTTAAATAAATCAAATACCTATTTATTAATTTTGGGTTTTCTATTTTCTTTTCATTTATTATGACAGAATGACTTGAGGTTGAGATCTGGTGAATTCCACATTCACCAGATCTCAATCCTATATAGAGTTCAATGTACTGAAATGGCCGTGAACTCATGATCATGTTCAAATAACCAGAAAAGATCATTTGAGCATTGTGACATGGCGCGTTATCCTGCTGGAAGTAGCCATCAGAAGATGGGTACAATGTGGTCATAAAGGGATGGACAAGACATGGTCAGCAACTATACTCAGGTAGGCTGTAGCGTTTAAACGATGCTCAATTGGTACTAATGGGCCCAAAGTATGCCAATAAAAATATCCCCCACACCATTACACCACCACCACCAGCCTGAACTGTTGATACAAGGCAGGATGGATCCATGCTTTCATGGTGTTCACGCCAAATTCTGAACCTACCGTCCGAATGTAAGAAATCGAGACTCATCAGACCAGGCAACATTTTTCCAATCTTCTATTGTCCAGTATGGTGAGTCTGTGTGAATTGTAGCCTCAGTTTCCTGTTCCTAGCTGACAGGAGTGGTACTCTGTGTGGTGTTCTGCTGCTGTAGCCCATCTGCTTCAGGTTCCACGTGTTGTGCGCTCAGATGGTCTTTTGCACACCTTGGTTGTAACTAGTGGTTATTTGAGTAACTGTTGCCTTTCTATCATCTTGAACCAGTCTGGCCATTCTCCTCTGAACTCTGGCATCAACAAGGCATCATTACCCAGAGAACTGCCGCTCACTGGATATTTTCCCTTTTTTGGAACATTCTCTGTAAACCCTAGTGATGGTTGTGAGTGAAAATCCCAGCAGATCAGCAGTTTCGGAAATACTGAGACCAGTCCGTCTGGCACCAACAACCATGCCACGTTCAAAGTCACTTAAATCTCTTCTTCCCCATTCTGATGCTGTTTGAACTTCACCAGGGACCTCATTTATAAAACTTTGCATTCATGTGGGAAGGTGGCGTACGTAGGACAAGGCAAGTAAATACGCACAAACATTTTCCGATTTATAAAACACGCACGTCCTACGTCGGTTTCCCTTTATAAATCACAATCAACTCGAAATGCGGCGCAGCTTTTGCGGGCTTCACGTAACGCCCATGTTTGCCTTTAAATAGTCAAAGATACGCCCCGTATTAATATTCATTTTGACTGACTGCATGAAGAAGATCGCAGGAAATGACGACAGAATAGCTAAAAAATACATTTCACAACGTGTCCGATTTTGGTTCTTTTGGGGAGGTGGAGACAAATCACATTGTTTGGTGGATGCAGTTTGAACCAGAGTAGCAGCATGGAGGTCGGATCGTCACCAAAATTAATAAATAAGTGGTCCGAAAAAAGTTAATGACAAAATACACATAACTTTCCTCAGACAGTGTGTTTGTACCGGGGACAGGAGACACCCCCTTGATGAGAAACTGTAAGAAATGATCGGGGAATCCCTCCGGAGTGGAGTCATGACGACTGGATCTGAATTATCTTGTTGTATTTGGTGGTTTGTGTTCCAGCTGTCAATCAGCTCTGTGCAGCGTCTCCACTGCAGCCTGTGCATCTCAACCCCCCCGCAGCAACTCTATCCACCAGTTAAAGGAAATACAACTAATGTGTTGTGTTATATCAGCTGTACAATTTACCACATATGGTGTTCTTAGTTTCCATACCTCCTGTGTTTTATGAGCGACTTATCAAGTCTTGGCAAACGGCATAAAACATGATTAAACATGACAGTATATAAAACCATGCTCGTATCTATACAACCTATAGAAATGCAAAACGGCCTCAGTTTAGACGTAATTCTGTCCTTCTACTTACCGCATCATTTATGAGAATACATGTCATAACATTAAGACAACATATTCGAGGTGGTTTTCAATAACATATCCGTATATATTTATTTCTCCAAGTTATGTTTTTGTGTGCACTGAGGAGTCTCAAACAGGCGTTTGTTTAATCATTTTAAGATTGGCTTTAATCAATGTTTGCAAATTAATTCTTCATATATGATAAATGAGGTAACATTTTATTTATGGTATTATTTCCACATATTTCTCTCCATTCTTCCTTCTGCCAGCGGTGTCGCAGTTTCTCGTCTCTCCTGTTTTTGTGCGTACCGTGTACGGATGGGTCAGAGTGTCCGTGGAGGACCGCACATTTTCCCTTCATGTTTGTTTTTTATAAATCGCAGAGATTGCTTAGAAATTGGCGTATGCCATCTTTTGAGCATACGCCACGTTTTTAAATGAGGCCCCAGGTGACTGGAGGATAATTTGAGCATTGTGACATGGAGCGTTATCCTGCTGGAAGTAGCCATCAGAAGATGCGTACAATGTGGTCATAAAGGGATGGACATGGTCAGCAACAATACTCAGGTAGGCTGTAGCGTTTAAACAATGCTCAATTGGTACTAATGGGCCCAAAGTATGCCAATAAAAATATCCCACACACCATTACACCACCACCACCAGCCTGAACTGTTGATACAAGGCATGTGTGGTCTTCTGCTGCTGTAGCCCATCTGCTTCAGGTTCCACGTGTTGTGCGCTCAGATGGTCTTCTGCACACCTTGGTTGTAACTAGTGGTTATTTGAGTAACTGTTGCCTTTCTATCATCTTGAACCAGTCTGGCCATTCTCCTCTGAACTCTGGCATCAACAAGGCATTATTACCCAGAGAACTGCCGCTCACTGGATATTTTCCCTTTTTTGGAACATTCTCTATTCGGAAATACTGAGACCAGTCCGTCTGGCACCAACAACCATGCCACGTTCAAAGTCACTTAAATCTCTTCTTCCCCTTTCTGATGCTGTTTGAACTTCACCAGGTCGTCTCGACCATTCAAGATTCAAGAGAGATTCAAGATATTTATTGTCATATGCACAGTAAACAGACAGTTACACCGTACAATTTAAAATCTTACTTTGCTAGTCCAAGTAAAATACAGGAATATAAAAATAAATAAATATTTAGAAAAAAACAAATAAGTTTGGCACACGGCAACAGCAGCATAAAAGGGCACATAAGTAGCAGCAGTTTAAAAGATATTTAAATAGTATATAAATAGTTGTATTGCACATGGTTCACAGTGTATAAAATATTGCACGGCAGACAACAAGTGCACTCTGCATTGTTAAAGTAGGTAGTGCAAATGGTGAGTGTCAGTGTGTCTGTGTAGCACTCACAGTTCAATCGGTGTAGCGCCTGCCTGATGGCAGGAGAGTAAAGAGTCTGTGCTGGGGGTGTGTACTGTCCCTGATGATGTTGT